AGAATATAAGTAATATAACTAAGTGCTGTACTTGTTGTTTCATAACCAGCAATCACTAGAAAACAAAGAAACTTTAAAGAATAGAAATAGTAAATTGAACTCACTGAAGAGAAAAATATTGGATACAATTTCATGTTTAGTAAGTTTTCGAATGAGTGGTGGTTCAATTTCTGTTTCTTCATTGGTAATATCAGTTGCTCGACTATCCTATAAAATAATAATGAAAAGAAGCTAAATATATCTCGAAAGTATGATATGTTCTGAAATGACATTAAAATCTAAAAGATAAATATATAACAATTTTTTTGTTTTGAAACTGATACGTTTGCAATAAGGATCAAACTAATAATTCGATTGTTCATTAAATTGGAATTATTTTATCACAAGAACTAAAAAACAGCTCATATAAATGATTTTACTTTAAAAATATTCTACATCAATAAGAACAATATGTCTCTAGAATATTGATTCATGCACAGTCTTAATGCTATTAAGAGATTACTTCTTCGAAGAGAACTTGATAAATAATTATCATAAAGATTTGATGAATATATTTAAATCGATCTAGTGGGGCTGATTATTTAAAAGAAAATAAATTAATCCTACTTGAATTAATTCTTCATCCGATGCTGACTCAAACATCAATTGTAATAAATCAGTACGATTTGTTTGACCAACTTTTTGATGTTTTTCTATAATTTTATATGCTTGTTTCATAATCCATGTTGGAGGATCTTCATTAATGAATCGTTTTGTTATCGGAATATAATGACGACACCAATAACTAATTGCACCTATTGATAAATGAATTTTTCTCCAAAATTTATTCAATTCATTAATAAACAATGCTATAAGAACAATTAATCGAACATTGACTTTTTCGCCGAATAATTGCTGAGAATGAATTAAATATGGATTATTAATATTATTTTGCATATCTGTATCAAGTCCAAAAGCACATGACCAAATTGTATCCATAGTAAATCGTTTATAATATGCATAGATATCAAATGGTTGACCCTTATTATATTGTTCGGACATTTTTTTCATTAGCATATTAATACTTCTATTTATAAGTGGTGTCATTTGTTTGAGTTTAGCCGATGAAAATGTTGGATTAATTATAAATCTTTGTCGTTTCCAACGCAGTCCTGATGCAGAAAACATATTTACTAGTTTTGCATTTTGATCTGCTAATGGAAAAGAACGACGAGAATGAAAATTTGAAAATGATTTAATAAAAACATCTTGTAATATATCTGGATCAGATATAACTAAAATTGGTGTATGTCCTTCAAAATAACCAAAAATACGACCATATTTTTCTGTCCATTTTTTAATAGTTAAAGATGATCGTCTACTTTTGATAAAATCTAGAAAATTGCCAAAGAAGAGAATCGGTTGTGGACCAGGAATATTGAGTTTTTTGAAAAATTCATATGCTGGTCGAATATGCCATAAATAAGCAACAATTATAATTAGAAGTAATGCAAGTAGTATGCTTGTAAACAAAAGCATATTTGACTTATTGTATGCTGGATAAAAACGCGTGTCTTTTTATATTATTTTGACTCACACTTTTCTTCTTATTCGTCTGTTTCATATAATTACTATCGTCGATGTAACACCTACGACATACTTTGGACCGAGTGATACTATTCTTGATAAGAACGCAAGTAAAAGGTTAGACTCGACATATCACATAATCTTCAATTATTTTATAAATGAAAACTTTACTATGAAAATATAATACTTTCTTAGATTTAATTAAATATAAAATAATTATATATTATAATTATTAAAACAAAATTTTTATAAAGCTTATAAGTCTATATAAATAATTAATTTTAATGTTCATCTCGACGTTGTAAACGAACAATAACTTGTTCTGGTGCAATGACAATATATTCTTTGAGATTTACAAATGGTTTACATGTTTGATCACCACAATCGACTATTGAATATGTTTTGAGAAGACGAACAAGTGCCATTTTGAGTTCAATCAAAGCAAAACGCATTCCAACACAATTTCTTGGTCCAGCTCC